AAGGCATTACCAAAAATTTATAATGTCCTTCGTGTGTCCTGAAAGCTGTCTTGGATGTATCTGCCTCCCTCATTCTGATATGGTGATTTCTAGATTTAAAATCTAGTTTGGAGAACATCACTCCCCATTCAGTTCATCCAAGAACTCATCAATCATAGAAATAGGAAACTTATATGGCATTGTCTCTTTGTTCAAAGCTATATAATCCACACAAAATCATCAGCTCTCATCCTTCTTCTTGATTAGTAGGGCTAGACTAGAGAAGGGACTCACACTCAGCCTAATGATCTCCGCCTCCAATATCTCCTGGATCAGTTTCTCAATCTCATCCTTCTGAAATTGAGGATATCAGTAGGGCCTGACACTAATGGGTGACACACCTTCCCTCAAGGCGATGACGTGCTCCTGCTCCCTTGATGGTGGCAATCTCTGAAGTGGCTGAAACACCTCCTGAAATTGTTGAATCACAGCTGTATGGAGAGGGTATGTCCTCTCCCTCCAATCTAGCTCCCTCCAAACTGTACAGCTCTACCAAATATCCTTCACCCATCACCTATATACTCCTTACCATAATTTTAAGAGAAACCATAGATTTGGATAGCCCTGCATCTCCCCTTATCACCACCTTCCTCCCATCCACCATTAGCTCTATAATGAGTGCTCCCCAATTAACCTTAGTATTTCCCAAGGTCTGCATCCACTTCATCCCTAGGATGACATCTGTACTCCCGAACTCCAACGGAAGAAAATCTTCCCTTACCTGAATCCCCTGGATAGTCAATAGCACTCCTCTACAGATCCCCATGCCTCTCTCCACCTTTCCCGTACCCATCATCACCCCATAACAAGAGATATCCACCAATTTCACTCACAATTGGTCGACAACCTAAGTGGAAATGAAATTGCAGGTAGCCCTACTAGCAATCAGCACCACCACCTCCCTATCCTATATCTCCCAATTTACCTTTATTGTGTGATTCGTAGTGAATCCTACCACCGAGTTCAAGGAAACCTCTGTCAAATTCAAATGTAGCTTCTCCTTCATCTCCTCCTCTTCTAACTCTCCCTCACTGTCGTCCTCAGTTTACTCGTCATCACATACGGTGAGAACCTGAATAGTTCGGTCTCTACACCTATGCCTTGGCGGTGAGAACTCATCATACCTTAAACACAACCCCTTTACTCTCTTCTCCTGCATCTCCTTCTCTGTCAGCCTCTTGAAGTTTCCCCTACTCCCTCCACCTACTGTTTTCTCCTTGGTGGTCTCACGAAACCCTCTGGCTATCGGCCTCTTAGGTGTTAAATGAGTAGTCGTCATCTGACACGTGCCTCCTGAACTACTGCTCCTGGCTCCCCTCTCTAGGTTCTTTAGATTTTCCACCAGTAGTGTCAACTTCATGGCCTCTCCCAAGTCACGAGGCATCATGACTTTCACCGTTACTCTGATGCTTGTCTTGAGTCCCTTCATAAAATTCTCTTCCAAAGCAGACTCTGATAATCGTTCCACCCGATTGGCCAGATGCTCGAACCGCTCTCGGTAGTCTGCCACTGATCTGTCTTGTACCAGTGCAAAAAACTGCTCATAGAAGTCTCATCCCCCGTTAGTTTGGAAATGTTCTAATAAACAGTCTTTGAACGCTCTCCAGCTCCATATGGGCCTACTCTGGTCCCTCTATTGGTACCATGATAATGCATTCCCCTCCAAACATAGATCCGTGGCTCCAATTTCTCCTCATCCGTCAACCTATTGATGGCGAAATACCTCTCCACCTTGTAGATCCACCCAAAGGCATCCTCTCCTTTAAATACTGGCATATTCAACTTTCTCACCTTCGGATCTCCCCCGTTTCCCTATATTCCGCTATAGTTTCCATTTTCCCAAGTGTTTTGTTCCCCCCATGTCTCCCAACCTTCCCTGACACATTCATCTTCAAACCCTTCTTCACTTTCTTCCCTCTTTTCTCCAAACTTAGCACCCCTCCTTCCATAGTTTCCCTCTTTTCTCTCCCAACCAGCACCCCTTTCTCCATCTTCCCTATTCCCACGCCTCTCTCCATAACTTCCCCCTTTTTCCTCCATGATTGGTCAAAATAGCGGAAATAACATAAAAATCTAGGTGAAATCAACCCAAAATGATAGATTGCAATAGTGGAATTAAAACAAAACAAACACAAAGCAAGATACAATTGATCCTCAATTCGAGAGGAAGATCGTTCTCTCCCAATCTCTAGACGATGAGTCTAGAGCCCAAGATACCAAGGAACTCCAAGAGAATAAATCAAAACATGCATGCCCTAACCCTAGCCTCTCATGTTCTTTAAATACAATTCTTCCTAATAAAAAGCTTCCTAGCATAAACCAATTTCAAATTACTTCCCTAAGCATTAGCTGCCCCTTCCTCTTTCTAATTGCCGCCCAATGGGGGGCCCACCATGCTTGGGCGACATTAAGGAGGCGACTTAGCCCGCCTCCTATAAAACTGAACCGGCCCCTCCTAGGCTAGTTTGGTTGGTTCAGTTCTAGGGAGAACCGTAACATAAACCAACAGATCTAAAAAATACATTGAAGGGAATGAAATTTATTATAAAAATTCATTACCAAACTACATCTAAACAAGCTTCGAAACAACAAGAAATTGGTCAAAACACTTAATCATCAGTCAATTGACTCGTGCATAAATGTAGGACGGATGCTCATTTACAACAATATATGTAGTAAAAGTGTAAAACAGCACCATAACAATAGGTATACTTTATGGTCTCCAATTGAACTTACCTATTAAAATGAACCTCAAAAAAGTAAAAGTAATCTTCTATATATCTGAAGAATTCACAAAAATTTACATGATTTTTCTCCAAGTATAATTTTCGAAAAAGACTAGAATTATTGGTCAGGATTTCTTGCATCACGTCATTACCATATAAAATTTCATTGAAAGGCCAAAAACCCAAGGTTTTTAATGTCATGGTACATTAAAAATAAGGTTTCATGAACTTCCTCTCAAAATTGTTTTCTAGGAATTTTATTTTCCCACCCTTCACAATTATTTCAAATCCATCATAAAAACTAAAATAGCTACCCTTCCCAGCCCTCGTGGAAGGAGAAGCATGTTCCAATTACATTGAAAAGCTATCACACGCTTTTCCCTTGTCGAAACTTTATTCTTGATCAAACTTTAACAACAATTCATCATAGATCATGTCGGAAAAATAATCCAATGGACATGGCTATAGAATGGTGATGGTCGGTGTTACTGCATTTATTGTCAACAATAATGCTTGGTGATGGATCGCTCGAGATTTACTTCACCAAACTAGTGATAGGTCATTGCGTCATATTAGCACTAAATAGTGGTGTTGACCTCATTTTAATGAGATCAAACTTCTTTCCAGGTAGGGTCTTCTAGGACTTGGGTCTTCCTACCTTAGTGTATAAGTCTCTTTTAGGATCCCCTTAGGTGGACACTCGATAACATAGCACCGACCATCCATAGGACGCCCACAAACCCCTTAGGGTACTTCTCAATGACTCCAGACAGATAATAGACTCCCCAATCTAATCATAAAATTGACTCGACCTAGATCGGCTTGATCTGTATTGAGGCTGAATAAAGTTCAAGTTAAATTGAGGCAACAAGTGAAATTAGACCAAGTTGAATATATATATACGTAGCGAATTTTATCTAAATAAATTGAATTAAACTAATATAAATCAAATTAATTTAATTAATTAAAATTGAATCGACTCGTATCAAATTAATTAAACTGACATGAGCTAGCTTCAATTAATTTAAATTTAATCAAGAGTTTCTCAATTCGACTCAAGTCAAAACAAGCCTAGTTCAATTTGCATAGCCCAATCTATTTCCTTTAAAATGGATTGTAATTGTTTGATTACAGCTGCTTAAAACCTCTCTAAATCAATTAAAACTCAATCAAACTGTTTGGATGCACAATTGATGGTCATCTTTATCCCTCCTCTTCCTTTTTGGTTTGAAAAATAACTAGGAATCAGGAGAGGTAGAGGAGCAGTTTTTCATTCCAGCTGAAACAAGAGAGACCTCCATGTTTTTTTTTTTGGCTTCTTGATGTGAGGAAACAAGCTGAGAGCAGCAACTTTGATTCTCTTCTTCCTCCCTAATCCTAGCACGTGTGAGAAGGGAAACGAGAGGCTGTGAGGATAAACTGCAGGAAAAAGGCAAGCAAATAACCCTCAAGAGGCCTCATAATGTTCAAATCCTACATCTCCTTCATTAAATTTGCCAACCAACTAAATGTATTTTGGTTCTTTATCCTAAATTTTTTTCTTTCTTTCTTTTCCACCTTTTATCTGTAAATTAAATTCATAGTTTTCAAGTTTGTAGAATACACAATAGAAAAAGAATTAGAAATCATTGCCTACTTAGAAAAATAAAATGTAAGACATGAACTTGAAGGTGAAGGGGCCCATGGAATTATACCTCCTCATGATTACTTAATAAAATACATTAATCTTCTTTCACTTTGCTGGAGAAGATTAATCGCTCACTGTTGCGGCAAGAGAAAAAACCCTTGCAGAATTGAATATTAACTAAGCACGTTATATCCATTCCAGAAATTCCGTTTTATATAACCCCAAACAACTATTAACTTATCATGATTTATCATACAAAAACTTTATCACATTGGAATCAACAGATCAAGGCCACGCTTCAACGGCTATTGTTCTATACATTCAGATTAAGCCGTTCCTTCTAGTCTGCTTCGGACCTTAGGGTGCATAGTCCCAAACAAGTTCCAACTTCCAAAATCCAGACACAAAACACCGAAACTCCAAAGTAGTATCACAGAAAAACCATTGGATTTTCTTTGAGACCAATACAATATAAATTCCTCATATAACACTAATCACAAAACAAATTCAGCAATGTTTTATTCATTATGATACGAATTATATTAAGATATCCTGACATTAATTTTCTTCCCAATCCAATCAAAACAAAAACTGCAAGATATTATTACCTTGACACCATGGGTGTGGGCTGCATTGATCCACCCCGGCGGCGGCAGAGTGACGAGATAATGTGAGAAGTACACAAAGACGTCCATGAGGTACCAGTGCCAAATGGCGTAGGCATCGGCGTTGGTGCCGCCCTGAACCCACTTGTCGTCGTCAGTGTACCCACCCTTGAAATCGTGGCAGACGAGGATCCGCCTTCGAGGTGGCGTCACCACAGCGGCGGCGGGAAGGGGTACGGAGGAGATATTGAAGGGGTAGTGAAAGGAGTCGAAGTAGGCGCGTGAGTTTAGGGTTTCGAGGTCAGTGATGGGGTAAGAAATGGGGACGGAGGGTTTCATCGGATCCGAGGGTGCAGCCATGGTGAGGAACGAGGATGAATAGTAAGAGAAGATGAAATTATGAACTGCGGACTACGTTGGAAGGAAGGGATGGAGGGGACTAACAAGTCGCCATGGCCGTTGACCCATGACGCAGAGACACACCACCATTCCATTGGCCCAAGCGCGCGAAGCAAATCAGTGAGCCGATTTTCCCACGTGACCTTTTTTATTTTTTTTAAGACATTTAGACGAATTAAGTTAAATGCATATATCATGAAGGGTGAATCCAACCTTTTTTAATTAATTAGGTGAGGAAAATAATAAAATTAAAATAGCAATAATAAGAACATTAAATAGTAATAAAAAAATATTTTAAAAAAAAAAAAGTTAACCAACATAATGCTATCAAATTTATAAGAGAAAATTTTTATCATTTATTCGCGAAGATTAAATGTTCAAAATTTCGAATGGAAGGGCAAACAATGCGAGATGAGCCATATTAGGACAGAATTTCAAAATTACCCCTCTTATACATTTTTTTTTTAATGCCCACCCTCACATGAGTGGGGATCTTCTCATGTATATCACAGACAAAATTAATATAAATAAATATAAAATATATTAGCATTCAAAAACCTTAGTACAAAATTAAAAAATAATAGCTTCATTTGGGACATTTTTGTTCCGGGTACAAAAATTTTTTTGTGAGCAATAAAAAAATAATAGCCAAATACACTACCAAACGAAGCCCATATCATAGTTCCTACATCAAGTGATTCTATATTGTTTTAACTTCTCATTTTTTTTATTATTATAATTATTTATATCATTCACAGCAGTTAACATCTCTCTTTATTAAAACAATAATGTCATATAAATAGTTGCTTACATTTTAAAAGAAAAATAAAAAATTATATCATCCCCAAAAAATACACTGCTTAAATAGGGAATAGATCGAGAGCAGGAGGAGAAGCGTGGAACATGCTCTAGCTAAGGTGAAGTTATTACTTGCGGTCACCAGATGCCGTCCCTAAACAAAATCTAAGACTTCATGAAGTAATTTTTTAATGTCTCCCAAAGGCTCTTCCTGCAGTTCTAAGATTTCATTTGGGACGATTTTTTTATTACTTCATGAAGTAATTTTTTAATAAAAAATTAAAATTTTTATACTAAAAAGTTGTTTTAAGAAGTAACAAAAAAACCGTCCCAAACAAAATCTAAGACTTCATTTGGATCTGTTTTTTTACTGTTTCTTAAAACAATTTTTTTTAATAAAAATTTTAATTATTTATAAAAAAATGATTTAAAAAATAGTAAAATAGCCATCTCAACAATTTCAATGAATTGAGGATTTAAGCTTTGAAAAGCAAGACAATCATCAATTTTCTAAACCCTAAACCCTAGAGAAATAAGTGAAACTAATTACACAATAAATTTTTTTTTCCACTTGCTATTTTAATTCCTTATTAAATGAGAATTTGACTTTTAACAGCGCACAATGACGAAAAAGGATTCATGTAGCAGACCCTCATATAATGGGACAAAGACTTGATATTGTTGTTGCTCTTTCAATTCTTTAAAACCAAGACAATGATCAATCATATAATCATTTTTGTTTAAGAATAATAAGCAATATGAGCTCTAATATATATTTTTAAAAAATAATTCTCTTTTAACCAATAAGCCTCTTGAAAGACAATTTGACTATCTAGACATTCCAGCTAAGAAATTAAGCATATTTTTAGGACAACTTACTATTTTACTTTTAAAAAAAAAATCATAATTTTATTTGACTATTGCTTTTTTATTACTTTCAAACATTTTTTGTAATAAAAATTATTTTTTCTAACTTCTTAAAAGAAATTACTTTCCCTCAATAATTTTACAATTACCTTTACAAAAATCTACATCTATCCCAATTACCTTTACAAAAATCTACATCTATCCAAAACAAACCCTAAGGCTTTGATTGGGACAACTTTTTTATTACTTCTTAAAATATCTTTTTAGAACAAAAGTTTTATTTTTTCTACTAAAAAACTATCTTAAGAAGCAAAAAAAATCATCCCAAACAAAGCCTAAGACTTTATTTGAAACGACTTTTTCATTGTTTCTCTTTTATTACCAAAAGTTAAAATTTTAATTTTTATAATAAAAAAATTATTTTAAGAAACTATAAAAAAATCATCACAAAAAAGAAATCTAAATCTCTTTTTCTTTTTTTGCTCTTTATATCCACTGATAATACACATAGATATAAATAACTGTGAATTGCAAATCATTTAAAAATATTAAATTGAAAAACAACACAATCTTTCCACGCCATCAGTCCCATGACAAACATATAGCTGATAGTACATAAATACAGATGTTTAAAAATAATTAAATTAAAAAAAATGATAGAAATCATATTTCCATTAACTGTAATAATATTAAAAAAAATGACAATGCTAATCATAATATTATTACATAACAACAATATTTAAATAGAAAGAAAGTCATTCTCTTCATATAATAATAATAAAAACCATTATGATATACTATATATATATATATATATATTGCATTACATATTGAATGTTTAATTTTTAATATTTATTTATATAGTATTAATATTTATAAATAACATCAAAAATATTATTATTAATATTAATGACTGCAGAACAACTACTGAAACATTCTAAGAAAATTTATATCAATATCAAAAAAATTCTTATATATTTGCATATCTAAAATTTAAATATCTATATTTATTTACATAACACTTGATTTAAAATTATAGAAAAATTTAAGTGCTAAATATATAAATTGTGATATGTACATAAATCCCCCTTATATCTAAGGCTTCCTGTGAGACAAATTTTTTACAATTTTGTAAAACAACTTTCTAACATAAATTTTAAGTTCAAGAAATTTTATATAAAAAACTGCTTTAAAAGCAGTAAGAAAGTGATCCCAAACGAAGCCTATATCTAACAATCAGCCATGCATCGACAAAAGAAAAAGAATAAAAAAAACCCAACAGAAATGTAATAAGAGAATTGAGGATGACTTTAAATAGATTTAACTATTTATCTGCAAATACAGTAGCTTCAATTCAATTTTAAGCACAGATGTACACAAAAAATGCACAACCCCGAAATAATTGACAATAGAAGAGGAAAGGAATTGCTTACCGTTGATCTGTTATTGGTAATTCGCAGGACTTCCATTCAGTACAAGCTCATTAAAAGCACCACAGCAATTCCAACTACAATTTCAAATACAAATATTATAACGGTAACATCTCCACAACGGCACTAGGGCGCTCCAGTTGCAAGGTCTGTTAAAAAAAATTGTACTGTTAGGCGCCAGGGTATTCAAAATTAGGAGATTTTATTCTGTACGGACACCGGATGGGAGAGCCGTCCGGTGGGTACCCAACGGTACCGAGTGCGGGTACCGAGCTGGGCACCCAGCAATGGGGTGATGTGGCGCATTTTTATTTGTCTCGGAACGCCATCCGCACTCCGCACAGAATAATAAATCCAAAATTAGAACCTCCCACCCACTAGACAAACCAGGCTCTCTTTGAATGCTGGCCATGAAAGAAAATGTCAGTCAAAATGCCCCACCTGGATGGCAAGCAAATGCAGTTTCTGCTACTACTCATTTTCTTTCACCTACCTGCATCTACACGGAGAGAAACTATTAGGCTGGCACGACAATGTAACTGTTGTGTGGAGTATTAGAATACACACAATTGTGTACTCCATATAGATTGAGAATCTAGCTGTGTATTTACTAGCTAAGACTTTCTCCAAACGTAAGAATGACGTCGCTCGCGAGCTCCAGCCGAACAACAAAACTTCCAGTATTTGGTTGCGGGTGAACAATGCGACGCCCTGCATTATTTTTCTGTCTCTACAGGATTTGCTGAAGAAACGTGCGAAAGAGGAGAAAGACCGTTATCTTCTGCGAAGGGCTCAAAATGGAGTCGCCATTTTTTAGTTTTACTGCATTTTAGAGTGAAAAATGAAATTTTCGGTTGGAGATGCCCTAAATCCATCATTCAGGCCTAATAATTTATCCTTAATGAAACCTATAGGATGCCTTCATCTTGGCAATTAAGTTGAGCTTTACCTACAACACCTACCTATAAAAACATATTTGACTGACAAGAAAAGTCCTCGTAAAATTTCCCTGCTGACCAATCAATCTAAAATATTCACTCTCTTGTTCTTCCTCATTTGAATTTCAAATCAATCGTAAAACTACAATAAAGAAATAAAGAAATTAAAAAAACATAACACAAGCAAGCAAGCGATGAAGCATGACATTAAAGGCTCAGCAACAAAGCACCTGCAGATAACAAAAGCAAAATGATGTGCAGAGAGATACAAGTCCGGCATAATTATATTAATGGTGGAAAAAGTAGCACTCACCTGTAATTTTTCAAACTTAACAGCAATTTGGAGATTACATCCACTTGTCTCTATAAGAAAAGAAAACGAAACAAAGATCCACACAGCACAAATCAATTTAATTCTTAACTCCCATCCAACATAGAATACTAAGAGCAGAAATCCTATGTGAATAGGTAAAACCTACCTTAGGCTCCTGTTAGGGTACATTACTGAGGTCATCTGAGAATGAATATTCTAGAGAATTTTCTCAGTACATCTAATCACTGGTTCTTCAATATGGCCTTGAACGCTGGCCACCATGATAGTTCCTATCAGGCCCAGAACCACCACCGTCCCTGTAGTTGTCTCTACGCCTGTCTCCACCACCACCATAACCACCCCTTCCACCGCTGCATAAGATAGCATACGCCACAGAACAAAATTACAATAAAAGAATATGCTTTAATAATAGAATCATTGCAAACCAGGAGAGGTTAGACAGCATGAAATCATAATCCATTTGAAGAATATTAGTGCAATAGATGCATAGGTTTGAAGCAAGGCAAATGATGAAATTTTATTAAAAACTTAATTAAAACAATAACAAAAGAAGTCGATCCTTCATTTAAAAGTATACATAATTTTCAAAGAGATAATACAGTGGCTAAGACCAGGTCAAACGGATTCTAAAAATTTATATACCCTTATCAGTTTACATGTACAAAAAACACAAAAGTCTACAAGCTTATAATACCCGCTTTCAGAGTACTTTAGTGTTTAAAATTTCGTTTGGGACAATTTTCTTCCTGTTTTATAAAACACATTTCTAAATTTCTAAAATTTTGTACTAGTAATTTGCTTTAAAAAAGCAATAACAAAGTTGTCCCAAACTAAGTAAAGAACGTGATGATGTGTGCAGGTCAAGCTCTAGTCGCTCCATAGTAAGTGCTTAACTAATAGCATCTGTGGATCGAATTTTATTAAAGTACACAAAACTCAAATCGAAGTTTGATCATAATATGCAAAGTGCATAACAGTGCAAGACAGCCTACAAAGATCAAAATTTAGCTATAAGGTTGCATATATATATATATATATATATATATATATATATAATTATCATTTTTACCTCATGACTGGATAATTATGAAATAAGGATATACTTATCCATAAGCTAGAATTATATTGCTCATGAGTTAGCATACTCTAGGCGGAAAAAAATGCTTGCATTGTAATCAAGGATATGATTAAATCAATTTAATTTGAATCACTCGTATGCATTTTCTCTCCCTTTTCTTCTCTCAGTATTCTCTTCCCCCCAGTGGAATCCTGTCTCCCCTTTATAAACCCAACCTTTCTCACCTATTTGAATCTCTCTTCTCTTTGCTTAGCACTATTCGGTATCTAAAACTTTGTTGATAAAGTGCTTCATCGACTACTTGCTACACCACTCATGCTCATGTGTATGCATTTGCATATCATGCTTCACATGTTGCTACTTTCTACAATACACACGACTTGCAATCCCAGCTCTCCATATTGCATCACATAGCATTATAAGGGGCACATCTAGAGACTAATAGCAATCATAGCATTTACATCCCACCTCACTCTATTACAACATCTTTGCCCCATCCCTGAACCATAGCCGCGATCCACAACACCATTGGGATCTATTGCTGTTCATAATCACGTCACATGATTGGTTTGCCACTAGCACCATGAGAATTCTCACATTCACAAGAATGCAATGTCATTATAGTTCTATGCTACTGCATATGAATGGCATGCATCACGCACACACACTTTCCTGATCTTATTCTTTTACTTGGTTATGACGAAATCATGAACACATAATCATGACCTCAAGTTTTTATCTTCATCATGATTGTGATTTTTATCAAAATATTTATCCTAATCCATACCTAAAAGGCATTGAATTAGCAAATAAGCCCATTACTTTCCTATGGCATTTTGTGATGCAAATATCGTACATCAATATATCATGCATAATTAACATAAACGACCACCAAAATATAAACATGATCGTTGAGAGGATTATAGATCATCAAGAACTTCATAGACGTATTATTAGATTATATATTGTATTCATGATATGTGCTATTTTCATCCTTAATTTCATCGATCTCAATATTCGTATCAAAATAATGAGTATCATCCTTCTTATGACAATGATGGGATACTAAAATCAACAATTTCAATATTCCAATCTATATACACACGGTCTCCACCTCCATCTTACTATCACCATGTTATTTGAGTTTTCATATTATCATCAATAACCATTTTACAGTTCAAGTGATGAATATTCATTAAAAAGTCACAAAACCAAGGACAAATCCTATAGCAAAGATGTTACTATGATCAACAATCTCAACATTCCAATATATGACATATTGATCTCCAACTACATCTTACTATCATTAATCCATTGAATCTTCATATTATGATCAATCACCTTCTTACAATTCAAAAGATTAATATTCCTTTAGAAGCCACGAGTCAAAGAGGAAGTCCTATAGACTTCAAATCCTTTGAAAATATGGACTGCTTATGAAGATAACCCTAATTTGCAAATGAGCGTCTTAAGAAAAATGGTGATGATCAGTTTGTATTTGATCAAGTGAATGAGATTATACCTAAGCCCAAGCATCACATAGTGATAAATGATTACCTAAAATTGAATATGAGTCTGCACCAATAAAAAATATTGCTCTACTCAGCCTCTTTCAATAGCACTAGATAATGATCCAGAGCTGATTTTTTGCTTCCTTCTTTAGCATCAATTTTTAAGATCAAGTTTGTGCTTCTACTTCCATCACAGATATCATGCAAAGATATTACATTATATATACTAGATCCCGGATCATTCTCTGATGTTTTGTTGTCAAGATTTATTGTTCGTGTATGTATTTGTTATCCCACAAGATGACCTTAAAAACATCATGAATCAATCTTACCACCTCCGCCAGGTCTACAACAACAAACTCTTGGATAAAGAGTTATATTTATGCAAGGTGAACTTAACGCAATTCAACAATTGCTTGATAGCCACTTGAGTTCCAAATGAAGTTATAAGATTGCATATCTTTATTGCATTGTACATTATTTTATTATTTGTATATTTATATTATGTCTAGATAATCTTGAAATAAAAAATTTGCTTATTCATCTAATAGAGTTATTTAAGTCATGCATTAGTTTGCCCTTTCCTATAAAAGAGATGCTTAGAATGAGAAAACCCTCTGACCAATTATCTCTCCCTCTTATTTTCTCGAAACTCTTTCTCCCCATCTGAATCCTCTATCGCCCCCCTAATCCTTTAACCATTCTCTAGCTTCACTTTTGATACCTATGTTTTCTATTTATTAAACACCAATAAAAGTGGCCTCAAAGATAAGACTTGGCAAACTATTGAATTGCTCCATGTGACCTCCACGGTCATGATTTGAACCAAAAAACAACCTCTTCATGAATGCAAAGAGAAGGTTGCATCTATCCTCCTCCAAGACACTATAGTGCAAGACTCTAAAGTCCTCCTAAAGCCATTTTTAATAGAAAGTATAAGCTAATCAATTTAAAATTAGGTTATGATATACAGTTTTTGGACAGAATAAATTTATTGCTAATCAAAGAACCAAGGACTCACTACACCAATAAGGAGCTCCCCTAAAATGGCAATGTTTGATAGCCCAACCTTAGTTTGACTCTTATTTTATATTTAACCTCCCATGATCATATCATGTTGATGACAACTTCATTCTTTCCCCACTCAAGAGATAGGTAAAGATGAGAAATTATATAATTCATAGTTTAAAATTGCAAAATAAGAGGCGCGTCTCTACGCAATTTAACCCCCAAGAGTCGCATTGCTTAAGCAATTTTGGGTCTAGGTGAGGCTTACGCCTCAAGATCCATGAGGCGGGCCTTAGAGGCTTAAATGTGTAATAATGAGTGAGGCGCATGCCTCCTAGAGTCGGGTCCCACCCACTTAAGTTCCTAATTAAAAAATCCTATTTCCTCAATTATTTCATTCAGCCTACCCGAACCGAACGGAGGAGTTCTTCGCAAGCCCATATCCACGGCCTCCCTTCCCGCCGCCGCCTCAAGCCGGTGAGCTTCTAGTGTCCGGCCGCCCTCTACGACAACTCTACTACCGGTTTTAGGTATTTTTTTAATTCAATGTATGATTTTTCAAGTTATAGAAAATCTAGGATTTTTTTAGATTTTTTGTTTGATTTTGAATTTTTACATTAAAAAACAAGGTTAGTGGCAAGGAAAAGTCAAATATATTATTGCGGCGGGACCCTCCTTGGAAGTACAGTGTATAGGTTGACGTAGGAGGCGGCGAGAAGACATACGTGTATTTGAAATGCAATTTTTGTGATAAGGTGGTGATTGGAGGAGTTACCCGCATGAAGGAACACTTATCCGGCTCACATAAAAGCGTAGCATATTGTGTGAATGTGCCGGATAAGGTGAAGGAAGAAATTACTGATTACATGAAGAAGAGTACCACGACCAAACATTTACAACAAGAGCAATTTGAAGAAATGGTCGAACATGGTGCTTACTACGGGAGCGATAGTGGAAATGACTCTTCCTCCACTATACATAGTAGAGGTGCCCGGGGTCCTATCAACCAATATATGATTAATCCATGAGAGGATAGAGGTAAAGCACAAATGATGCCTGCGGCTGGTACCAGAGAGGGTCGACGGCAAGTTTGCATGGATATTGGAAAATTCTTTTTTGAGAATGCATTCCATTTAATGTTGTGACATCGTCGGCCTACTTCAATATGTTGCGATCTGTAGGGTTGTATGGGAGAGGGTTGAAGGCACCTTCAATGTACGAGTTGCAGACATGAATTTTGAAGGAGCTGCAGAAAACATAGCAGAGTATTTATGAGATTAAAATGACATGGAGTGAGACTGGTGTTACCATTATGTCAGATGGATGGTCTGACATGAAGAGCAAGAGCATGATTAATATCCTTGTAAACAATCCTTATGGCATGGTATCTTTACAATTAGTTGAAGCTTCAAATGAGGTTAAAAATGATGATTTCATTTTCAATTTATTATATGGGGTTATTGAGGAGATCGATGAGCAATTGGTTGTTCAATTGGTGACTAACAATGTCAGTGCATACAAAGCAGCTGGTCAGATGTTGATGGAGAAGAGAAAACACCTCTATTGGACCCCCTGTGCGGCACACTGTATTGATCTCATATTGGAGGAACTTGGTGAGCTAACTCAACACAATAGCGCCCTGTCTAGGGCGAAGAAGATCACAAAGTTCATCTGCAATCACTCATGGGTCTTAGCCTTAATGAGAAAGTTCTCGAAGAAGGAAATCATTCGCCCTACTATCACTAGGTTCGTT